TCTATATATCTCTTTTTAGATCTGAATAAGCGATGTTATACTGTGTTGATATATATGGGGTAAATATTTAAAATATTTTAAAATTAATCATATATGGAGAAACCAGCCCAAGGAATTTTAGAAGACTGACACACATTAATCCCAAAAACCTAAGCCAATGGGACAAAGGTTCCCCCACTTAGAGCAGCCCAAACAAACAAGCTTTGCTGATATCATAAACAATCTTTACAAGGGTGTTTTAACAAAGAAAGGAGAGGGGATCACAGGTTTCCTGAGGCCATTAGATGCTCATTGACTTTGAGGGAATACCTGACTTCCTGGATTCACTACTTGAAAGACTAGACTTCCTGAAACCACTGCATTGAAACCTTACTTCCTTGATTCTCACTACTGGAAGGACCTGACGAATACCCTTTTTTTGGAGATGAATCCCTGACAGAATTCTGGGATGGTTTGAATTTAAATCTTTTTATTTGAAATAATTGATCTGAATTGTATATATATTTAAAATTGTAATATACTATATGCTTAATTGCTAGCTTACACACTTAAGCTATAAGTGGAGGCACTACTAATTAATTACCATAATCTGGTTCTAATACCCTACAGTACCAGGTACCACTGGAGATCTAGAATGTTCAGGGGAAAGGAAGACTCAGACAAAGAGAGGTGGCCTGGAAGTGGCCAAGCTCCAGAACCCCAGGGTCAGGAGCAAGGGCTCCAGGAGTAGATGAATCTAAGAAAGGTGCAGCAATCAGTGCAGTAGCAGGAGTGAAGCAGGAGGAACTGGAGAGAATGCTGGAAAAATTAGGGGGCTCTCTCTGCACCTAATTGCTGAAAGGGCAAACCTCCCTCGAAGGTTTCCTGAACAGCCCTTGACTTTTAGCCCTGTTGGCAGTCTGAGAGTCAGGCTCTGGGGGCCCAAGGACACCAATCACAGAAGTGGACGAAGGAGAAGGATGAGGCTCAGTCAACCTCTCCCTGGAACTCTTGCGTCAACGCAGAAGCCCACTCTAGCCTCCCATGTGATCCAAAAGGGTGGGATCCAGAGTAGATCCGAGGGGATGACGTTCCCCATAGGGTAGGCGAGTCAGATCCTGGGCCTCCCAGTGTGTCGCTGTGCCTTTAAGGAGTAGAGCACCTCCAGGCATACCTGCATTCTATTTATCTACTGCTAAATATGCTCCAATATGGAGGCTCTCAAAAAATTAGAGTTAGGACCACACTACACAGAGGCGCCTTGACGAGGGAGTGTTGCTTCCACATATTTTACAAAAGTTGTGCAATTAAAACCTGTTTTTAATGCATATTGTTAGACAGTGTAATTTGTTTTGTTGCAGGCTAGCTAGTAAGTGTGCTGGGAAATTTCTGTGTTTTGGATTGTTGTAAGTAGGGATACACCAAAATTTAGGCCGCCCTAAACATATTGGCCAAACATGGCACGTTTGGCAAAATGCTGAAAGTGCCATCTTTCAGATAAAACTGCGGTGCATGCCTAGTTTCTCTCCTCCCCGCTGGATGCTGCTCTGTGTCCCTTCTGACACAGCACAGCATCCAGCAGGGAGGAGAGAAACTGTCAGAGGAGGCCGAGCGGTGCGGGGGAACCGCGATTTCACATGAGGCCGGGCTCTTCTCCAGCACTGCTTCCCTCAGCCTCCTCTGACCACTCAGGATGGAGAGTGGTGTGGGAGCGGAGACAGTTGTGCGCTGTCACAGGCCCGGGAGGAGTCAGCTGTCAAAATAGACCAAGCTCTCCTCTCCACACTGTCAGCTCAGCCTCCTATGACAGCGAGTCAGGATGGAGAGCGAGGACATGCAGTCAGCAATCACTGTTTGTAAATAACTGGACATAGTATGAGTTACTATGTACCAGTATTGATTTAATAGGAAGTAATCTACATCACTTCCTGTTCATTCATAATTGTGTACATGGTACACATACTATGTCCACAAGTTATGAATGTACAGGAACAGGAACACTCAGTACAGAGGCTTACTGTTCATTTATAACAGGGGATGCAGAAAAAGAGATTGTGGACTCTGTGTCCTCAATCTCTTTTTTGATTTTAAAAAGGGAAATATTCTGTTTAGACCCCTGATATTTCACCGAAGCCCCCAACAGTAAAGTTAAAACATACAAATATTTAATTTAAAAAAAATTAAATTAAAAAAAAATTTGTTTATGAAAAATAAAAATTAAATATTTTTTAAAATATTAAAAGGTTAGAATTTTTTTTTCGGTTTCGGCCTGACATTTTATTTATTTTCGGTTTAAAATTTTCATTTCAGTACACCTCTAGTTGTAAGCCTTTCCATGTGCACCTTGCTATCAGGGCTAGTTATAAATTGTGCATTTGCCTTTTATGTTTGATTGTAGACCCTATAACTATGGGTCACTATAATCCAGATTGCAGGCATCGGTTTCCTGAGAATCAAATAGTAGACGCCCCCCCCAGGAGAGTATGGGCTGGGGTCACCTATTGTAGCGGGACTGTCAGACATGTTGCGGCTGCATGGCGGTGATGCAATTAGGCCCAAGTTGTCAGGAAAGACCTTAGGTTTTCACAAACCCAAGCAGCTGGTGCTGATGCAGGTCGGACCACCAGATGTGCCTAGGTCGCTGTAGGTGGGGAATAGGAACAAGTCGGAGCTCAGCGTTCCACTTGAGGCTTTGCAAAGTATCTGAATTCCTGTGCTCCTCTTAATGGATGAGAAAGAAAAATAATACCGCATATTAACATTTTTTGCTCTCATTTTTAGTAAGCAGTTGAAGCTTTAGGTTCCTTTTCATGTTTTACAGGCTATTCTTATACAAACAGGTACAACAATAGCTCAACCAGAAACTTGCAACAGAATTAAATAATAAGTCAGAGCAGTGGTTCATCCCATGGTCTGAAAGTTAACAGCCATTGTGCTCTTTCCTTAGAATACCATGCTGTGTGCAATCTGTAATAAATGTTTATTTATATAAAACAAATATTGTATATAAAATAGCTATGACATGATGATCAAATGCAGGCTGGAGGATTCACTGGCAAAATAAGCTTTCCGCATGCAGATGTACACTGAGTATAATGCATTCAATACTGTGTGAGATACCAATGCATTAGTGAAAATAATAATACAATTCAAAATACAAAAAAAAAGTAAGTTTTTTCATTTTTAAACTTTCGCCAACCTACAATAGTAAAAAAAGAACAGTTTTTGAAAACGTTTTTATTGAAACCGTGTACTAAGTAACATCATTATAGTGTATGTCCATGAAAAAAGAATTTAAAAGATGTAGGTATGCAAATTAGATAGGGGCTGATGTAGAAAGGCTTCATCAAGCGTATAGCTCAGCAAATGCCATTTGCACAGTATTACACCCCCTAGATGGAGCTAGAATTTCCTATACTTCTCAGAGCCATCTAGCAGTTGTAATGCCATGTGAATGGCAGGCTAAACCTTTATACATCAGCCCCATAGAGTTATTGTCAAGTTAACCAAATCATGCTGATGCTATATATGTAAAAAAATAAGTCATGGCAACTTATTGGTTGGATGACCAGTGAAATGTCTTCAAGAAAAATACAGCAAGTCCAGTTGCCTTGACTTATCTTTTACAGATATACGATGACCTGGATGAATGAGAGCCTTCACAGACAAATGCTGATGCTAAAGTTGGCCTTGGCATTTAGACATCAATGATCTCAGGTGACAAAAGGGTTAAGATATGTTTCTGTGTGTTTCTGACACTTTTGTACTTGTACAGGGTTATTCACAAAAGGGTGAAGAGTTTGGAGAAGGCAGGGGAAGTGAACAATCTAGGACAACATAGCTGAACTGGAAAATGAGCTGAATTAGAGAATTCTTCCAAACCAGCTACCATATTTGCCGGCGTATAAGATTACTTTTTATACTTAAAAAATCCCTCGAAAATCGGGGGTCGTCTTCACGCCGAGTATACAGGATGTGCGGTAATACTGTATGTACGGTAGCTTCTGCTTCATACAGTATACCGTGCTGAGACAATCACGCCGAGCGATGTATTCTATTAATGAATACAAAGCCTGCTCGGATTGGCAGAGGTTGTGTACAAAGGTACAGAGGCTGTATACAAAGCCTGCTCGGATTGGCAGAGGTTGTGTACAACCTCTGCCAATCCAAACAGGCTTTGTATTCATTAATAGAATACATCGCTCGCCGTGATTGGCTCAGCGAGGTATACTGTATGCAGCTGAAGATACCGTACATACAGTATTACCGCACATCCAGCGGGCTGACAGATTAGCCTCCCTGGCGGTCTGATTATTTTATTTTTTTCCTTTTTTGTTCATTTTTTGTTCGGTCTTATGATTATTATTTTAATCATTTGTTTTTTTTGTTCATTTTTTTTTACTTTTAAAATTCCCGCCGGTAACGTCCCCCTGCCACGCGGACGCTCGCAAGGGACGGAACCCGGAAGACGGAGGACACAGCGGTGATCGTGGACAAGATAATAGACGCTACGCTTTAATCCCGAGTGTGGCTCGGGGGTACTGCTTATGGTACTGAAGATTAACCCCGAGCCACACTCGGGAATACCGCCAATGAGGTTAGTGGGTGTATTTAAACATTATTTTGGGCTATACTCGTCTTATACGACGAGTATAGCCCAAAACCTATGGGGGGTTGTCTTATACGCCCAGTCGCCTTATACGCCGGCAAATACGGTATTTTGGGCTAGATTGTTCACTTCTTCTGTCTTCTCCCAATTCTTCACCCTTTTGTGAATAACCCTGTCAGTGTCAAAACCTAAAGTCAGTTAAGCAGAAAGACATTATAATACAGCCACGTTTCATCCTTTTGATACAGAAATAGTGCAGAATAGCCAACTGAATGAAAATTTCCACTTAAATGTTTTCTTTTACAGAGGATCCACCCAGGTATTATGTAGCAAATAATCTAAACATACAAGGATACCTGACAGCTCCATATAACTGAACTTATTGTCTGGATATTACAGCAGCCACTCTTACCTCTGGAGCAATATAATCTGGGGTCCCACAGAAAGTGCTTGCTTTATTTTCTCCAAAAACGTTCTCCTTGCACATACCAAAGTCTGCAATCTTGATGTGACCATCCCGATCCAACATCACATTGTCCAATTTTAGATCCCTAAAGAGAAACACTGTCAGTTTTGCACATTCTTGAAGGAGAAGTATGGGGTGAGTGAAATACACTCATCCCCATAATTAGAGCCTTCAGTGTCACACGTCGGCTTTATTGATCGGGAACTGAGCGATCACATACTGCCGATCCCTCAGTTCCAATCTTCTCCCTGCAGATATCGGTGACTGACAGTCCCTGCAAGGATTCCCTCCTCCCCTCTCTGTTCTCCCAGTGCTGGCTAGAGGAATGAACGGGGGAGGGGACAGGCAGAGCCAGCTGTCAATCAGGCAGCGGGACGGATTCCTGACAATATTGTCGGGATCCATCCCGGCTGCAGCGCGGCTCTATGCTCTCAGAATGTAGCGGGCAATAGCCCACTATAGGCTGAGTTTTGGGTCACAGGAGGACATTAGTATATGTCGTCCTGTGACCCTGAAGAGAACTATGGCAAAAAAAGGTTAGGCCATAATTCTATTTTAAACCTTTAGAAATGTATGACATTATAATTTGATATTCTCCTACATTTTCTGTAATATACAGGAATGGGAACTATAAACACAACTGTAAGCATCCGTATATTTTTGCCTACAAAGCGGAACTTAAGTTAAAAAAAATTAAAGATTGGGAGCAGGCAGGCTATTTATCAACACATGATTTTTAACTTACCTGTAAAATCCTTTTCTTGGAGTACAGTACAGGACACAGGCTTATTTAACCATAGACCCTGGGTTACATGCAGCTAACTTTAGGTGATTGAATACTGGCAGACAAAACTGTCATCTCATAAAACCCCTCCCACTCTCAGCAACACTCTGTTTTGTAGCAAGCAATGAGTGAAACTGCCAGGGCAGAGAAGAGGGTGACCTGTGTCCTGTACTGTACTCCAATAAAAGGATTTTACAGATAATGCAAAAATACAATTTTCTTAATCGTACAGTACAGGACACAGGCTCCTTTAATTAGAGACCCTGCAATACAAATGATGGGTGGGTGGGCAACACAGCAAAAAATGCCAGCAGGTCCACAAGAACCAACAAGGGAACCAATCCTGAACTCAAAGAGCAGCCTGGAGCATCTTGCAGCCAAAGCTGGCATCAGTAAAGGCCTGAACATCCATCTGGTAGAACTTTACAAATGTATGAACTGGTGGTATGAGGTGGTAGCCTTGCACATCTGAGAAACAGATGCCTGGTGCTGAAAGGCCCAAGAGGCACTGATAAACCTGGTCAAGTGGGGCTTATCCTTCAATATATAAGCTTTAGTGATTATGTGACTGATTCACCTAGCTATGGTGAAACGAGATGCTTCACACCCATTGCGGGAGCCCTCAGGCAGGACAAAAGAGTTGTCTGACTCTCATATACAGTAGAGGAAAGTGGCTGAGAGATACCGTGTTTCCCCGAAAATAAGACACTGTCTTATTTTTTTTTGCACGAAAAAAGACACTAGGTCTTATTTTCGGGGGATGTCTTACCGGGCTGGGGGAAGAATACTCACAGGACTGGACGAGGTCCCGGAAGGCGGCGTGTTGTTGCTGGTCCCGGTGTTGAAGTTGGCGGAGGATATGCCGTTTCCATCGGGCGTGTGGGCGGGAGCTGCGGCCGGCTGGCGCGGTGGGAGCTGCGGCTGGCTGGCGTGTGGGCGGGGCAGGAGCTGCGGCCGGTCTTTACATTTAAACATCAGTTATATGTGTAGCTACCCCGAAAGTAAGACCTAGCGCTATCTTCAGGGATAAGACCTACCACCGAACTAGGTCTTATTTTCGGGGTAAGTCTTATATTACAGAAATCCCTGAAGATAGCGCTAGGTCTTACTTCCGGGGTAGGTCTTACTTTCAGGGAAACACGGTAGATCCGCACTGCCCTCACCACTTCTAAGCAGTACAATGAAACCTCATTGGGATGCTTCAGAGCAGGACAGAGAGACGTCAGTACGATGTCCTGATTAGGATGGAAGGGTGAAACTACCTTGGCAAGAAAGGATCTACCTCATCTCTGTAGAGAATCAGAAAGGGCTCTTTACAGGATAAAGCCGCCAATTCCAAAACTCATCACGCAGACGAGATAGCCGTGACAAAGGTCACTTTACAAGTAAAGTCCGCCAAGGGAATATTATTTCTAAAAAAGGGGGCACATAGCAAGTACCAAGTGTCTCTAATATCACAGAAGTCAACACAGCCAACAAACGTATATGTGTGCTGGGACAAATGAACTTGTCTGGGACAAATCAACTCCCTGTAATAATAGTCAAAAACAGAAAGCCCTCTGCAATTAGTAGATTTCCCAAACCAAATAGCATTAAACAAGAAGTAGTATCAAACAATGGCTATGTAAATAATTAACATTTATTAATAAAAACACCCATGTGTCATCATGTATTGCAACATCCCATAGTAAAATCTAGAAAAACCGCATGTGTGATTCCACGGTACTGCACATCATATGTAAAGTATAACGTAAATGGTTTAAAATCCATTGTGGATTATTGTAATAAAATGTTCGTCTCTATGCTCAGATCCAAAAGCAGCTATGTCTTGAAAAATATGCAAGAATATATTGGATTGATGTCAGGAAATTAAATTGTAATTGTGTATATATATTCCTCTTTTAAATCGCAAATGGTGTAGTTGTTGCTCCTTTTTAAGGTATAGTTGGTTAAAATTAGATCCTTTTCCTGCTGATGATGATAAACAACAGCAAAGATTGTAGTATACTTGTTATTGTAGCAATAAAATAGAATACAACAAAGTAGCTGGTTTTCATGGATTAGCCTTGATACAGTCCCCGATACCAATATATCAAATGGCATGTATGGAATCAGGCATTCAAAAAAGTACATATTGCCGTTTCATCAGCTCCTCTACCTCTACCAGGTGGCATGTAATGACTTGCCACCTGGCCTCCTGATTAGCCGGGAAGCTGGGCAGCGTGTAAAGACTCGCCACCCGGCCTCCCCCGTCATCTCACGAGGGAGCATGGAGCCGGCCTCCCGGCCAATCAGAAAGCAGGGCGTCGCATCATTACACGGCGCCCGGCTTCCTGATTGGCTAGCCAGACGGCTCCGGCTGGGTACCGGAGGAAGGCCGCGTTCTCGCTGGAGAGGCCCCGGGGGTGACAGGCTGCACATACTAAGGTAAGGTAACCTAACCTCACGAGGCCAGCTTCCTGATTGGCCAGCTCCCCGACCAATCAAGAAGCGGGCAGCGCTGCCCAGCTTCCTGATTGGCCGGGAAGTCGGCTCCATGTCCGCTCATCACAAGTGACGAGAGAGCATGGAGCCGCTTCCCGGCCAATCGGGAAACCGGGCAGCATGAAATGGCGCGCTGCCCGGCTTCCTGATACCGGAAGTACTTGTGCTAGGCATCGGAGAATTTGGGCAAGTACGAGCACTCGCCCAAATACTCGGAATCAGCACCGATATCGATACTAGTATCGGTGCATCCCTATTAGCATCCACTGTACCCTGCCGCGTTTCCTCCCGACAAGAGACTTTCTCAGAGGGGGTGGAACACTGCTGTATCTGCATGTATCCCTTTCTATGCATACCACAGGTGTCCTGGATTAGTTCAATTCATTCGAACAGCTTTATCCCATGCTTGAGCGTCCCTATATTAGGGGTAAAAATCTTAATGCTCAACCTTGAAATGCATTAATTCATGATAAAAAAAAACGTGCTATTATGGTGTATGCTCATATTATTTTGATCCTTTGGGGGTTATTTTATGACCGAATATATATATATATATATATACTGCATTTTTGTGCAAAATGCAGTATTGCAGTGTGCAATGATACCTTTTTTATATAGATATAGATATTCAACCATCGTAGTGAGTATTACACACACCATAATGTAATGGAAATTCCCATTAAGTCAGTGCATGTGAACATTTGTAATGTTTAAATTCATCCATAATTTAATGTTTAAATTCATCCAATAATAATACTCATAATAATCATTATTAAACACAATATATTACATTACTAACAATATCGACAGGGCAGGGACATCAAACAAGATCATTGTCAATCCAAGAAGCAGGCAAAATTAAGCGAACCATTAATCCCAGGTTTCTTTTGTGAACTCATCAATCCATTTACACTCCTTCTGCAGTAACAATCTATCAATATCACCACTCCTTGTATTGTCATGTACAAAGTACAAATGTTTCAAGGACAAAGAACAAAAGCTTTCCAAATTTTCCATTGTGGTTCTCTACCATATGTCGTGCCACTGGTGGTAATAAATTGTGACCTTTAATGTCCCACAGGTGGTCAGATATTCTGTCTCCCAACCTTTGAATAGTTTTTCCCACATATATAGCATCACACTCACATAAGATGGGTGTTTTTATTAGTATAATCTAAGATATGCTGCGCTTGGTATGTGAAATAAAGAAATAGGTGAAATAATTGAAAACAAATATGTATCCTATATATCCTACTCTCTGGTGTAAGATTATATTTTGAGACCAACTTCCCTTGGGGATTTCGGGCAGGAAAGCCCCCTCTCATTCGGTGTCTCCACTTGACCTTTTTTCTTTTTTTATATTGTTTGTTATTTTATTTAGAAGATTGTTCTATATTGGTTTGTCATATGGTGCGCCATATCGTTTACACCCACAAGCGGGACAGAAGACTCCACCACAAGTTTACACTGAACTGGTTTAAACACTAGTAATATAAAAAAAACTTTTTTCCTCCTAAGGATTGGGGGAAACAACACTCAGTCACACCTTTTTATTTAATAGCCTTCACTAACACAAGAGAGTATTTGCACAGTAAGAGCTCACACAGGCTTTTCGGAAATCATTTATTTATAGAAGGAATCACTGTATCAATTCAATTAATTTGTTAATCAACAATGTAAGAGAATATATGAAATAGCTCACGGTCACATATTAATATAGGTTACATATTTGTTTTCAATTATTTCACCTATTTCTTTATTTCACATACCAAGCGCAGCATATCTTTGATTTCACTGTGGTTCTGATTGCACATTGC